AGAGGCGAATGGTTGGCAAGCCTGCCAAGGATTCGGGCCCGTGGATGCCAAGCTTGGCAGATTGGGGCAAGCCTGCCCGTTTAAGCTGATTTTGCCAAACTTTTTAGTGTCAAAGACAAATAAACCAGTGGCTTGGAAGAACTTGCCAAAAATTCAAACCTTAGTCTCAGTGGCTATTTTGTTTGTTGTCTCAGAATAACGTGAGGATATTTGTACTTGCGAACACCGTCCAAAAACTGTTCACTATCTTAGCCGGAAACGACTTAATTAATTATCACTGGTTGACTGGTAATAAAAAGCGTAAACTAAAAAACAAATAAATGTAAGCAGGTGTCATGATTCTCATAATAGCCCGCTACAATATTTCTTAATCCATTCGAAGATAAGTACTTCAATCATTATTACGTGCTTGCTAATGTAACATGAGGATCCGAGGAGAATTATGTGTGTGGCCAAACAGAGTTGAAAAAAAGACACGGCCACAATGATAATAGCGTCTGTATAATGTTTTATTCAGAAATACGAACTTATATCATTGAAAGCGTGGTGCTGATGAAGGTAACGAGGAAGACTGACCTGAAGGAAAACTAAGTCGGAATATTCTGAAGGTATTATAGAGCAAGCTCGTTGATAACTTCCTAAACCCGTCGTCAAACTTGGGGCAGTACAATTGTGGACAAATTGTCTGAAGAACTGGGAGTACTACTTAGAAAATAATGGGATGAACCACAGAGAAATACCAGTATCTATAAAGTTACAAATCTACCACAAAAGGGAACTTCATCGACAGTGTTGAAAAGGAATCATTTGCTGGGTTTAAAGAGTGACAAATTCAGGGCTTCAACTTATTATAAGAGAGCAGTTCCTACATTTGCGGATGTTTTTTTGCCATTTTCATTTTCTCGGTAAAATGTGACAGAAATTAATCCTAATCGATGAATGAATGAGATTAAAAAAAATAAATAAAACACCAAAGAGCAAATAGCATGTACTTTTCAAGCACAGGGGAAGGAATTGACAGAAAACAGTAAAGGCGGCCTCTATAAACACCGTGAAGCAAAGGGCGACAGCACGCGACGCGTCGTGCGTCGTGTCGTGTGTCGCGTCGTACTTCAGGCAACGCGACGCACGAAAAGACGGTACGACGCAATGGGCGACGGAAAGGGTGACGTTTAGGCAGAGAAACATTCAACAAGGAAAGGACCTTAGACAGCACGACACGACGGGCGGCGGCACGATGTGACGCACCACGCGACGCGTCGTGTGTGTACAAACAAAATAGCAAGAAGGCGACGGTACGACCCGACAGCACGACGCAAGGGAGCCGTCGTGCCGTTGCGTCGTGAGTTTGCGTCGCCTGGAAGGCAGCTAAACAGAAAGAGACATGTAGTAGTACACCATACGATAGACCTTTTATGGACGCGTTACGCTCCATAGGGTCACTGTAGTCTGGCTTTATATATGGAGGAGACCGTGCCTTAGCAAGGGCGACCTCACAGTTTTTATTTAACTTATTAATATGCATATTGTGTAACTGATCTACATTGTATCTGGGTTACTTGCATGTTTGTATGCCTAGTATTTGTTACTTGGTGACCTTTATGCTTCCCGCGCAAGGACTGGTTGTACTTGGTAGACATACACCAGGAAAATAAGTCCAAAGATTATTTTAGAGGACTGACTGAATGCATCAGGATTATTGTCATGTGCAATAATAACCCCTTGTATTATGTGATATTTTGGTAATGTGTTAAATGAAGCTCACGCTACTTGTTCTGTAATTTACTCGGTAAGTATGACTCTTTGCGTGTGAATACAAACAAGACAGTGTAAGAGACACTTGAAGACTTTGACTGGGCTGGCAGTGAAGTTCCAGTTTTAGAGGGACGCGGAGAGCATGGGTATAGTTTGATATCAGTAGCAACCATTTTTACGTCTGTGTAGGCAAAGTCCCATGGCGAATTTGCAGTTCAGTCTACATGGAAACCCCCAAGTGAGTAAGTCTTGTTTGTGTTTGTGATATTGATGTGTTATGATGTGTAAGGACATTGCCGTTCGCTGTGTTAGCTACGATGCACATGTATGCTATAGTCTGTGAATGTACAGTGTGTATAGATATTTTGCACATTGCTCATAGTTTGCTCATTGGGAACTCTAATTATTTTGTTATTTCAGGCAATGAAACACCACCCCTACCAAGAGAAAGAAAATGGGGCATTTGACGCCAAATTTAGCCCGAGTCCATGCATCTTCCCTAACAGAATAATAGAGGGAACCTTTTTTATTTGTAAAATGATTCTATGATTTGCTTGAAACCCATTCCTATTGTAATCCATTTGCAGAAGAGGAGTGGGACATCAATGCTGTTGTGTTTGCTTTTGTGACATCAAGCAAGACAAAAGATTTGCAAAGGTTGTTGTACAGTAATCAGCGGCCTATCACATTAGTGGGAATGCATTTAGTATGTGATAATGTTTCTCATTAACATGGCCAACGTCGTGCTAAGCTTTTGGTTTCATGCTGAGGTCCTGAGGGTGTTTAGCTTCATTAAATGTCTGCGATACTGTCATAATCAAGACAAAAATGACTGACAAAACATGTGGCGACACCACCCTAATAGAAATATGTGTGGAGAAATGTCACAACTAAATAACACAAGGGTTTTTTAAATGATCGAATTTGTTGTAAATTAGCATCATAACTTATCTTGTGTGAATCTCAATTTCAGGAGATGACACACATCTGTCTTTACACTGCATCGAAATTGCAACTCAACTTTGTGACCGTAGAGAGTGGGGCTGTGTGAACACAGCTCACCTGCAGAGGACATGTGTAAAATAATTTTATAAATCATCTAACTCAATTCATACTTCTTTTACTACTGCTAGAGATCACGGTTGCTATCTTTCTGAGTAACTTTATCAAGCTCAAAGCGGCCATTACTGCACCAGTTCCCCCAGGGCACCGATGGTTTTGGGTCTCATATGTGTCCAATGTGATGTCAGGGACCTGCTGCGACGCCTCGAAAAACCAGTGTTGCTGGGGATTCCCTGACCCTATGGTCCTATGGGGTTAGAGGGTGATGCCGGATTCAAGGGTCGAGAAGGTAAAATTGGTCAGATTGGTGCAATGGGTGAGTAGTGAAACCTTTGCTAAGCCTGATGGGCGTTTGAATTGGTCTGCCTGGTAAGGTGGGTCCCAGATGACAACCTGGATCAGTTGGTACCACCCGGGAATTAGGGCTCAAAGGTCAAAGGGTGAGCCAGGTGAGACTCCAGATGACTCTGCCCATTCGGGTAGCATTCACGGTGACGTGGATGAGCATATTGGACATCTCTACCATCAGAAAACCCATTTGCTACATGAGAAGGCCGAGACGCTTTTTGCAGGTACCGATTTGACGACTGGTGCGTTTACATGTAATGTGCCGGGCACTTACGTGTTCATGTTTTCAGCGCTCAAGAAGTAACCTCTACGTTCATCTCAACAAAACAACAACCGGATGGTCTTTTCTGGTAGCACTCATTCGTCCGGCCACACTGAACAGGCATCTGGTAGTGCAGTGCTGATTCTGCAGTGAGGGGACTTCGCGTTTCGACCATGTTCAGTTTGAGGTATAGTGATCTAATCTTTCACTACACCTCTTTCTCCTGTACCCTCAAAAAGTAAACGGCAATGACGTGTTGTTGCAAAGTCTACGAAGCGATTGTGGATAAATTTAAAATGGCAACAACATATTGAACAAAAGACAGTTCACATCTCGTTTGCTGCTCGTTGTATTTATTTAATTATTCATATTCTTTATCCTCTCCCAAAAGGATCTAACGTGTCTCTCAAATTGCACCTAGCAATTTCTTGTTCTGTTGCTGTTAACGACCTTGCTTAAACACTATTTGTATACTAACACAACCATTGAGGCTTAACTGAAAGTTATGCTTTGTTTTGTGAGTTCTAAATTCAAATTAATGTTGCTCATTTCCCACAACAAAACACGAGAGGCTTTTATTTTGACAATCTTTAACTGAAGATATGAAGCAAATACACGAACAGAGTCTAAAATGCCTATTATGTTCACGTTTTGACTCGATTCTACCAGTGAGGATAGGGATAAAGTGCAAAGAAATTAAAATTTTAACTGCTAACTAGGACACACTTGAAGACTACAAGTTGGGAGGTTGTGACCAAAAGGCCTCAGAAATCACGTGATTTGATTGTTCCTCCAACTGCCACGCATCACTTGATCGAACTCCCGTGACTTTTCCTAACTTTTTCCCCATCTACCTTTTGAGAGTCAATTATGGGATCGCCCTTGCAGTGACTGAAACGGGAGGTCATACCCATCATCATACGTTTGTGCACAAAACACTACTACATTATTATGTTAATGCACGCAATACCTACTCCCCTCTAAAATACTCCTTCCCCCTTTGGAAAATGTATCAGGCCACTGTTTGGGATACTTGCCAGTGTGTCTGGCGGCTTGTGGTTGGCGCCAGCACTGTAAAAAAATAGTGTGTTGACCTGCAGACCTGGATAAGCCCTTGTGATTGACAGGGCCGAGCCTATACGCCCAGAGAGGCTGGCCACGTGGAATTATGTACACTGTCTAGGCCCAGCTTTTGTGCTAGAAAGGCAAACAGGTATAGCAGGAATTTTCCGTGTTTGTTTAGTATCGGCTATGTATTTCCGTATTGTTGAATTCAGCACCCTCCCTCCAGATGACGCCCCCAAAAGGACACTTCCCCCACAGAACATACCGAGAAGTCTTCCTAAAAAGGCCTCCGTCTGATTTATCTTGAAAGAAACAGAAAAAAAAATGAATAGGGATCGTTTTACAAATCTGAGACAATTTGGTCACAACGTTCTACAATTGTGTCAGCAATTGACGTAGGTGCCTCCACGGAATCACCCAACTGCAGAGAACGCCCCCCAAAAGGACATAATTAGAAATCTTCTTAGGAAAGCCTCTGTCTAATGTTCACTTTTCCCTCTGTGCACTTTGATTAAGAAAAGGTTAGCCAGTGGTGACATATTTATGACTTCGACAATTCACACATAATGGCAGGTATTGCATTGGTCAGGAAAGGTTGGTTTAGCTGAATGTTTTGTTTTTTAACAAAATGTGAATCTGTAACAAGGGTGGATAATCTGTACGTAGTTTCTTTGATACACGTTGACTTTGTAGAGTCGCTGCAAAGCAGCAAAACTTAGAAACTAAAACTCCATTTTTTGTAACCCTCACCGGGAAAGGCTTGCTGAAAATTAAATTGTCATCAATGAGCAAGGTTGCACCCAGATGTTGTTTATTCGGCTGAGAATAATTAATTTTAAAAATTAAGAGGCATAATATTCATCTAAACGGAAGTTTGAAACAAAAGTTTTCTTCAAAAAGATTGAGCTTAGTGCAATATTTTGGGAAAAACCTTTCTATAACATACACCCTTTGTGTCAGTTATACTCTAATAGCTTTAAGAAGCAGAGCATGCAGGTTAGTCTGTTCAAAATCTGCCGGAATAATTACGATAAAAGTCAGGTGAGCTAGGTCAACCTTGTTAGATGTTAATGCATCCAATTTGTTGATTCAACACAGTCGTAAAAAAGGCATGGACTTTAAATGCCATGCATGCATGGAAGCCGTTTGTCCAGTCGATTTTACTGAAGTCCAGGCAGACTTTAGCCAGTTTCACTTTAGGGACGCCAACGCAAATCGATGGTGGTTCACGGGCTGCAATTTGAAGACAAATTAATCTAGTTTAGTCAGAAATCAGTGAGCTAGATAAACACTTTTGTCTTAAAAACTTGAAGAAGTCTACTTATGTTTGTCAAAACCTAAAATCAGATATGAAAATAACTTAACAAATTTGCAAAACAATAAAAGTACATTTTCTTTTACATGAACATTGTTTGATGACGAGATAACGAAAAAAAAAAGGTAAAAAACTCGGGTTCTGATGCATTCATATGTGTCTCACCTTTTTCGAAAGGGAAGGGGCTGTTCTTTCCAGAATCGGCATGAATGCCACCCAGGAGAACTATGTATGCGTATATTTTTTGGTACTGATTGCTTTGGACTACGAATGACAACTTTCACTTCCCCCGCTAAATGTGCAATTTCTAGCAATCCTGTCACTCAACTTTGACGAAATAATGTATATTTTATAACTCTGCATTGATTAGCCCATGCTTGAATCAGTGCGTGTGTGTAGATAGAAAAAGCTGTAGTAATGACGTTTGTGGCATTTAATCGTAAACTTTGTATCATGGAAGCAAATCCAGCACAAGGAATCTAACAATCCAAGCTATATCCAAGTCTTACCTGATATCTCTTTGTTGTAAACTGTGCTTCCAAAGGCGGTTATTTTGATGTGAAGGCCATAAGCTTTTTTAAGAACCTTGACGGAAGCGCATGCTTGAATGAAATTGAAGATAAAAAAAATCTCTTCACCCCGTGAGCCGCAAAACAAGACATGAGCAGCCCGAAACCTTATTCAGAATCGTACAGTACATAAAAAGACCAAACTTTTACTATAGTTACTAGGCAGTAAGCTCGTACTACTGATTGCGTAGTAAGCTCGTACTACTGATCAGGTCAAACTTTTTTATATAAAAATAGTAATAGTAGCGAAACATACATGACAGAAAATATGAAGCAAACAGCCAAAATTTCATGTCCTTCTAAGAAGTTTCTTGTAAGGTCAACAGTTTAAGTATTTCATTTTTGGTATCCATGGCCAAAGCACTAAACGAATAATGCACATCAACCTTTGATCAACTGTGATAAAGTATCACTTCAAACGAAATTTCCCCCAAGATTCAGAGCCAATTGTGTACAAAGATGTCCATTTCCATGCAGAGCTAGAGGGTATTTCAACATCTAAGACAGATTGTTGAGCACGGATACAACTGGTCTTCAAATGTTATGATTTGAAATCGGTGGTTCCATAGTCTCAGTTATTTATACCACTAAGTTACGGCGGTAAACTTGGTAGAATATTTAAAGCAATCCTTACCTTTGGCGGTTTCGTCTAAGAAGGGCTCGAGAGACAATGTGGTACAGCACTCAGCTGAGAGATCTTGTTTAGATGTTGTGCATGAACCCGAAATTCCTTCACCCATGACGTCTGAAGCACTAACTAGAAATCATAAAAAGGAGAATATACGTGAAAGTTGGACTGCCGTCTAAAATGTGATGTGGGAACGGAAACTTAAAGATAATAACAATGCCTGGCATTGTGGATTGCATGTCCGTTGGAGCTCCAATGCAATTCACCGTGGACAGCAAAATCATAAAAGGGACGATAGGCTACCCAGCGTGTATAAAAGCACTGCAACCCAAAGTGCAGGTGAAATAGAACCGACTACGTATATCCTGTCTTTAACCAGTTAAGGGCAAGAAAACGCCAAAAAGGTTAACAGTCTTCTGTCTTACAATGGAAATGTTCAACCCTTCTCCCGGGCTTTTCACTTCTGCTTCTTAATCTGTACTTATGAACTTTTCGTACCTCTGGAAATCATAACCCCTTGTTCGAAGACGTATTAGAAAAATAAAATTTTTGTTAGTGGTCAGCCATTGCAAGCCTTTGTGAAATGTATTATTAGGTACAGTGTATGGCAAACCGTGACGAGTCCGTCTTTTGACACGGATCGTTGTGAAAGAGGCGTGTTCAGCTAAAAGATTGTTTACAGCCAACTACCGTTGACTGAGACTGCACTAAAATTAAGCTTAGTTTGCAAAGTTCAAAGTGCGGGTACTGGACCACAAGAGAGTGTAGGTGGAGCCTTGCATAATTGGGGCTTAGCAGAAACAGCGTTTGTAGCTAGGAGAGTCTCAGATCATTTACGAGTTAATTAAAAAGCAACTAGGTAAAAATAACTTCACCGGAATTAAAGTCGACAAGGAGAAACTTGGCGATTTCTTGTGGGGTCATTTCAGCCAAGTCCTCACTGTACAGTTGCATCAGCTGCTCCTCCTTGGATGGCACAACTTCGAGATTAGGCTCCTGATTCGCAAAAAAAGTGCACATGGTCAGAGAGTAAATATGAGCTGGGAACGGGAAGGAGAAGGATGGGGAATGAGATATTGTAAGGTGATGATGAGTCTGAAATGTTTGCGTGGTACCGACAAAACCCACTGAAAAGCGATTTGCAATATGTACGTCTTAAAATGTGTTTCAATCCTAAAGATCCTTACACCAATTCGACATTTTAAGGCATTTTCAAAATTGTTTTGAGTGCTATTAAATGCATTTTGGCTCTCCAAATTCCTAACAAGATAGCTGTAAACTTTATTGCAGCACGGCAAACTGAAAGGGGGGTTGATTCAATAGTCAATCCCTGTGTCACAAAGCCTGAGGGGATATATATTCCCATCCACAAGAGTGCTTTTACTATTATCCTTATTTTAAGTAGAGGGGATAATGAGAACAAACACTGTTATTTTAAGATAAATTTGCTACACACTATGGCACAGATAACTTTTCAATACTTTGTCTGCGCACTCTTCTCATCCAGTCATTGATAAACCTTTCTGTGTCACAGGTGAGAGTTCTATTTGGACAGATAAGATTTTTACAAATGTTTTCATTGCGGTATCAAAATGACTGATATAAGGGATCATTTACCTGTCTTCATAACAATAGAATAACGTACAATTAAAAATGGAAAACTCCCAAAAGTGTTAAACGTAATGTATTGGCAAGAATTACTGGCGCCAGACAAGGTTGATGAGGCATGTGCGAATTTCTTAAATCGTCTGTGTATCTTGATGATAGAGGTTTTCCACAGTGTGAGCTCAAAAGTCGTATTATATCAAAATCATTGTGGATAAAGGAAGGAATCTATAATTTAATCAGAAAAAAATATCTGTACATAAGTATCTTCACAATCCAACAGTTTGTTATGAATCTGTCAACATAAAGGTTAAAAACAAGTTAACATAACATGTTGTAGGAATGGCAAAAAATATTTGGGGAAATGTATTAATGGTACGTGGAAGCTCAGTGATTCTTTGCTCAATAAAACAAATGTCAATCAAAATCCGTCCCATTTACTTGTCAAACAGGGAGCAGTTCCGCTATTTCAACTTTGCACTATTGTCGATGGTGTTTCACAGGACTCTGCATAGGGCCCCTTTTCTTTTGTCATATTTGAATGTTTTGAATAAAATTTCCTATCGTCTTTTTGCAGATGAAATATGCGTGTTTCATAACCATCATATTGTAAACACAGCTAATAGCGATCTAAAGTCAGAGTTTTTAAGGGGAATGAATGGCTCTAGTAGAGAAGAACTTTCAGTTAACTTACTCAAGACAAATTACATGATTTTAGTCTCTACACAAAATAATGAAATACTTTTTCTCAGTTGGCGTAGTATTCCTTTAAACCAGGTGTAAAGTCCTGGGTGTTGAACTGCACCAGAACCTCTCTTGGAGTGAACATATTTACGTGTCGTGTCCTGGCGTTATGGGTAAGCAAAACCGTTCTCATGAAAACTATACTGAGCTTTAAATAGTACACTTATTCTGTCTTGCTTATACCATCCAAACCTAGGGCACCTCGACTTCTCAATGAAAGAATCTGTTTATTTTGCAGAAAAATATTGTCCAAATAATATCAAAAACAGATAACTGAGCTCACACAACTCCATTATTTATCAAAATATTTGTGTCCCTTTAGACTAACCTTAAACGGATCTAACAAGTCTCTCAACACTACATACATTTACATTGAAACCCAAAACCTACTTTGACAGTTTGTATAATAAAAATAAGTTCATATAACCATGCAAGTCTACATTAATGTTTTAAATGGTCTGAATTCAACAGACAGCATATCTGTTTTACTGTTGTCTGTCCTTGAAGTGAATCATATTGTATTGTCCCTCTCTCCTATCTTACGTTTTTTGGTATGGTCGGAATTATTGTTGGTGTAATGGGGAAACCCAAAAGCACACTGCTTCTTTTTCCCCTTGAGGTTTGTAATGGACCAATGCTTAGAAACAAAAATAAGCACACCTCTACCACCCAATTTAAGATGTGACACTGGTCTAATACGCCTTGTTAGTCGGTACCCACCATTATGGCCGAAGATGAAACCGTCACAAACGCAGCTGCAAGAGCCACCAGCTTCCACATGGTAGTCATTCTCAAAATCTGTGAAGTCAAGTCTCTGACTGGAAATGGAAAAATGGCCAGGTGTACTCGAAAGAGAAAATCACCGTGAATGGAAAACTCGTTGTTGAGTGAGTATATATACCTTCCAAAATTTAGAAAGTGTGTGACTTTTGTTGCAGTAAAACTAAGGCCCGCGGAAGTCTTACCCGCATAATTTTTCATCACTTTGGTTTCAGAGGGTTCTTTCTAATTAATGTTACATGATTTGTTGGACTGCAGGGCCGATGCAGTCTACATTGCTTGGCCTTGGACAACACTTGAAAAGACAGACAGACAGACGACGCTATAAACGTTGGGGCGGGGTAGTAGTTAACACAGTCGTTATACCATACCAGCAGAAACTGGCTAGAGAAATGCCTTTATTAATGATTTATTAATCTCATGGTTAGCATTCATTAATGCTGCCTCGAAATCCCAGGGACGGATGCTCTCGATTAGGGTTCCAGAAGTGCTGTGAACATATTGTTGATGTTTGTAGATGACAATTTTACGAACCCTTCCGAAAGCACACATTCAGAAACTGTTGTAATCAAAATCGTTGGGAAACTTGCTGGTACTGGGAATTGAAAGTGCACCTTAACAAAACACCCACACAGAGGAGACTGTATAGGAACGTATATTCAGAAATTTGATGGACAGAAAGTAGGAAAAATGAAATCAAAAGAAACAAACAAGTGGCACGAAGAAGCACCGCCTCATGGCTTATTGAGGAGATTAGATTATTGATTAGATAATTAGTTTGGGTCAGAAATGTGTGCATATTCGTTTCGTTTGTACAATGCAGTTTGATTGAGCAGAAACCCGTGGAAACTAGTAATGCACAGAGACAAATGCCATGAGTTCAATACAAATAGACAAAACACTTCACCATTGCACATGGTATTTCTATACACCCACTCGAAATTGGCACTGTTTTCCCTACCTTTGGGAGCCGGAAAATGTTGTTGGCGTCAAAAAAACAACTTTCTATTTTTCAGCATGGTCCTTAAAAGGCGAAAGACGAAACAGCTATCTCCTTAGCAAAGAGGGCTTTAAAAGGAACGGAAATACATAGTAGACGGTCGTTTGATACATTTCAGAAATTTAAACAGCACGTTCTAAATGTTAATTTTAACTCTAAGGGATCGAGACATGTTTGTAATCCTTTTCAGATTAACTGATAACCTAAACTGTCTCCAGTGAAGTGACAAGGCTTTAATCGTTTTGCGAGAAAATAACTGGTCCTTCTATTCACGTGTTTGCACTTTGGTTTCTAAAAGGAAACGATGAAGTAGCACTGACAGCATGTATTCGGTGGGGCTTACTTTGTAGTTTACTGACTAGAAATGAAATCATAAAATTGTACACAATTAAAAATTGTAAACATGTAAAATTTAGCTAATTCAGTAAGTGAGATTTTTATCATATGACATGCTACATTTTGTTTCCTACTTACACACAGGCTGTAAGGTTTCAACCACGCATTCTGCTTTTTCCATTTTTTTTATCTTCAAAGTCAGTTATTCCACGTTATTCGTATACTCTTGCATTTCCCTTTGTATCGGGCAGGCGATACCATTACTATTATTTATTCATTCAGGGTCAATAATTTATCAATGTGAGTGGAATACAAAGTTTTGGATGACAGTCAAACTGGCTAGTAAATTTTTTTTCCAATCTCTTTCATTGCTTCGTTTGGTTGTGAAGGAGAAGTGTGGTGTATTAGCAAAGTAGTGTAACATTGAAGTGGAGAAATTTGTTACTGATGCGGCATGCAGGACTATGGGTTGTGGTCGGAAAGAGTGAACACAGCACAAGGGCATCGCTGCTCGGATCAACAGCGGGACGGGACCAGCAGTGTGTTCCGAACAACTGTACTGATCGATCTGNGAACAGTGTACTCTGTCCGTCTTCAGGAGACTGCAGGATTTTAACATGGTGTTACCGCAATCTTTACTTCAGATCTAGTTTCTTTCACCATGAAAACCTTTAAGTCTTATATGTACTGATCGAACTAGAATGTGGCCAGCACATGACAGGGTGGAGGCAATGCATTATAGGATAAATGTTGAGTTAGGCGCCCTAAAGTGGCAACAGTGGATATGTGGCGGTGACTCGTGTCTACATAATGCTAAAGGGTTAAGCGATTACCAACAAGCGAGGCAGGACAAACGGAAAGCCCTGCGGGTTTTTGGACTTCACTGTAAAAACAAGTATTACTGTTTTAAAATCGTTTTAAACGCTCTTGGTGATTTTTCTTTACGTGTTGTGGTCCTAAATTGACCCCGTGTGGTTTAAAATCAAACAAATACGGTATGAAAGGTGTTTAATTTCAAGTGGTTGCATTTTTACCAGTAACCCAAAGACGCGTTTGTTTTGGGCGATGGTTTTACAATGTGTTGCAATCTGAGGGTGGTCAAAGAAACATCAGTATTTCCTTTGGATTATAAAGAGACACGCAGAACGGTCCACGTTAACAGTAGGTTAGCAAAGTTGTCAATCACTTCATCTCTCTTGCTGCTCCCTTGACTTGCCCTCTTACCAGTGAGTTAATTTGTGTTGGGAATTGGGGGTGGGGGATACCTTACACTGCCATGGAAATTAAAATGTGGGGGATACCATATAAGCTCTAGGGGGGCATTGTTCATGATAAAGATGTTCTTTTGTAAAGTGTATCAAATTCATGCAAACTCATGAATAAGAATGGTATATTTATGGCATTTTAAAAGCACGCAGGAACCAATAATAAACCAGGTCTAGCTCACCAGTCACTGCTCAGGAAATTGCTGGCCAGTAAAAAAAACATGACTGGTCGCCTTCTCAGGAGTACCAACGCTTGTTTTCAGCTTTAGATGGTTGAGAGAGAGGAGCTTTATGACTTCGGGAGTAAACATCTAACAAAATAACGGGGGGTGTTAACACGGACATGCTGAAAACAGTCCAAGCACTAGTTATTCGAATGTACACAATTTGGAAATAATCAGCTATATTCTTTTCATTTACTCTTTCAAATAGGCAAATAAACTCGTTTTTCAAGCAAACGTTCGATTTGTCTTGGATGAATTTGATGATGTGAGATTGGTGAATCAGTTGAAAAGCTCTCAAACATGCTTCTACACTCCCAACATCCGCATCGACAACACCTACGTAAGGAAACTTGATCATTAGATAATTCCGAGCAAGGAAAATGAGATTAAAATCCATCCGTATCAAGGGTACTTCGGCGGTGGACTATGCCTTAGGGGCTGTTCGTTTGTGGAAGTTTACCACTGGTTAGTAGCGTAGCCACGGGGGCCTCCGTGCCCTTCCCCACAAAATCCTAGTACCCACTCCCCCCCACAAAAAAACGGATGAATGGACATTGAACAAGGTTAACAAAAACTTGCCGTCAAAAAAACACCACTACTAAAAGCTGGTGCCCCCAAAAGATGCAGGTTCCCCTTGTGCCCCCAATAGTAAAAACAAAGCTACGCCACTGCCACCACTCTGTGATTAAATGGTTAAGTAATTGCTTCCAATGTTAGGAAAGGTTACAATAGATGTTAATAGAAGTGACACCCACTGGACTAAATCTCATCGTAAACAGTGAATTGAAAGACAGTTATATCGTTGCTTTCCCTAAATATCAAGTCGACGGTAGCACGCACTTTACTTGTGTGATATCTGGGGTCAGCAATTTATTAAAAGGTGGACGTGAAACAAGGGGTTTGGGTGACAGTCAAACTGTATAGTTGGTTGTTTGCTCTTACATGTCTTCATCAAAGGTCAATGTGGGTTTGATGAAGGTGTAGCTTAGCAGAATACAACACACAAAAGGCATAGTTACAGAGAGGCGAAGTTGTATACCTGAACTATGGTTTGGCAGGACCATTGGAAATGAAAGTCATTCGGGGTGGATATGGTAGGGGTGTATAGCATCGCAGAACTATACTACACTCATTTTTCCGGGATGTGGTGAGAGCTGTCCCTGGCCACCACGGTGACGAGCAATGGCTGGATTGGGCCAGCGGTATGTACAGACCGCAGTGCCGCTCTGACAGCAATGTAATGAGCGAAATGAGGGAATCGCCGCATTACGCACCATTGGCTCAGAGTAGAGACGGGGAGGACCGGGGCAAGTTAGTAGGACTACGGTGGCGAGAGACACGGGTGTGTCTCGTCCGGCAATCGGTTCGGAGGTCGTAGTGACAGGTCGCTACGACTCTCACTAGCACCCTGGGCTAGTTCGTACCGCTCCAGCATCGGTCTAAACTAAGCTACCTGGGCATTCAAATGGTTATGTTTCGTCGCCATAGGAATGGTTACTATCAAAATGGTCCAACCGCCGCACTACGTTAGGTTTCGCTCTCGCAACAAGGATTTGGTCTGCCGCACCTAACCGACGAGCTAGGGAAAATCTGGTATATATTTTATAGGATTATGAAGGCTTAGGAGGCTAAGGAGGCTGCCGAGGCTTTAACCAAAATCAAATGAAAGACTGCTTGTAACCTGCCAAGCTTATAAATTAAACGTTACCCTCAAACTGTATACAGGGTAGCTAGGACTCGGCTACGTGACCATTCAGCAGTGAGGGACAAACGCCACTGAACTATGTACCAGTTCCCAAAGCCCACGCAGTCGTAAAGGGCAAAACTCGACGTACGGACTTTGTTGCCATAGCGCAGTTGTCGTGAGAAGAGAGTGGGGAGAGAGCGTGTGTAGGGGCTATGTAGTTGTTTTGTTTTAATGGCGCTTTCGTCAACTCGGGCTATTTGCGCCAATAACTGTACGTTTATTCATTCACCTCAGTCATTAGCATCACATTACCGGGTTAGGAAGAACGTCCAGTTTTAGAGGCAGGAGGAAACCGGAGTACCCGGAGAAAACCTGCAAGAGTGAGTATGGACTGGAAACCAAATGCACTTAAAGCCTTAGCCAAGACGGGCCTCGGACCCGGGCCTCATTGGTGCAAAGCGAGGAAAGAACCGCTACGCTTACCCGCTCCCCCTGGGGGCTGTGTTGTCCACGATAGGCCTTTTATGGACGCGTTACGCTCCAAAGGTTATGGAGAATAGGACAATGTTTCTCCTACTTCAGCCAC